AACAACACTTACTAACCGAACGAGAGTGATGGTAGGCTACGCCAAAGCGAGGTGCCATCACTTCTCCAAGGGGCATAAGGCACACCGGGTGTGCACGTTGGTTTTGGTTTAACTCATCGGTATGAGTGAGGAGTCCTCACATACCGTGGCAAAAGAGATACATCGTCAAAGATGCATTAGATGCGACGATTGTCTAACCAAGAGTGGCTTAGAGCCATTAGCAAGGAAATGCTTACCCTAGAAGATTGAGTGTTTAAGACAAGCCAAAGCATTCTTAACCACTCTTTGTTTCTTCGGATCTTGGAATCGCCTTATTTTCGCCGAATAGGGACAATTATTATGCGTAAATAAGACGTTTAATAAGATTGAAGTTTGCATGAATGCTATTAAATTTCAAACTTATTATGTTCTTAATAAATGGTTATACTTAGCACTTATATTTATAGTATTCTAAATCAAATAATATTGTTTCCATGATTGGTAAAGGAAATCCTTGAGAATAGTTCTCAAAGAAAGGAAAAGCATTTCTAAAATACAATTCTCATAAATGACTTTTATAATTAAGTTCGAAAGGACGGTTGGACATCATGTATTCAAAATACTAGGTAGTTTTGATAAAACATGAGGTATTGAGTTGCAAACTCAAGATTGTCAATGTTTGACAACCAATGTATCTTTTCGCCTCACAATTGAGTAGGACTCATTGATGTAGTAATTCGAGTAAGAATTAATGGAAAAGATGAAACTTTGTTTAACGGCGCACTAGGTGCTTGATTATGCCTAACAAAGTATAAGAGTCAAGGTACTTAAAGAAATGATTCTTAAAGTAAGATTATGAGATATTGTATGATAAGAAATATAGGAAAGAAGGAACGAAGAAAAGGAATTAGATTTCATTTCAACTCATGAGTTCATGTTATTGTAGTTAACTTAGCAAATCGTTATCTTCACAAGTATCATACTGCTTGAGTGTTCCACTATGATAGTGACCTCAAACTATTGAAGTTAAGCTAAGTTATCGACTTACAAGCTTAGAATGAAGCAAGAAGAGCTACATCAGTTGTAAGGTCGTATGTTTTGTTTAAAGACCTTTTTAGCCAAAGGCTGGAACAAGTAATGGTTATTATGTTCCATAATCAGCATCTGATCCGTTTACACACGGAAAGACTCACATTCAAAGTAATGAGCAATAGTTGCGAGATTTATTTGAATGGGATGGTTATCCAAGCGTTGAGTTAAGAATGCTTGATTATAAACAAACATTTCTCTAACATGATAAACTCACTAAGTTCAAGTCATGGGCTTGATTTGCGTTCCAAACATCTTTAGCAATGTCACATCGACAAGAACGTACTCAAGGCTCTATTAAATAGGCTCTTGATAGTTGCTCGATTTGGAATCGTTCCAAGACAAGCAAGTCTTACTTGTTGAAACCGACAAAACAGAGAGCTATTGTTCTTGGTATAGACAGTTGACTCCGAAGGCTAAAGAGGAGTCCATTACTTCAACGTTTCACAAAGAATTTGAAAGGATATGGCTATATTCATCAAATGTGAACAAAATTGACTTGAGTAGCTCAAGAGTTCGGTGAAGTACAGAATCGACTTGGCAAGATATCAAAATGTCTAGATTAGATCGAGCGATGTTTGCTTGAGCCAAGCGTGACTATCTCAAAGTTATGAATGGAATTTTCATAAATAACTCCACAAAGAACATAGTGTGTCTTCTTGGAGACCTCGGTGTCATTTGAAAATGACTCAAACAATGATGGTTCACAACCCTTCCTATAAAGTTCTTAAAGATTTGCACAAATGACTAATGTTACACTAAACAATGTGTCAAAGCTAAGAAAGGACGCCATATTCAGTTATGGATAGAAATAACTTCTAAAAGTCTTTTCAAGTATATGTCTAAGGCTCTTAGTCTCAGTGGGAGTTCACTAGCTCAGTGGGAGCTAGGTGACTCAGTGGGAGATGAATGGCTCAATAAAGACTAAGATAGCTCAAGTAGGAGCTAACTGTTTGTTTCACAACGAACTTTTACCCAAAGACAATATACATGTCTCTTTGTAAGCATTCAAGTGAGACTACGGGTATTACCTCCACATCCCAATTGAGAACAAAAAAAAATTGTTTGTTGCTCTAAGTAGTGTCTTTCTGGAAAGTAACACGTTTCCAAAACGACAAGTGGGAGGAAAATGAACTCGATGACCATCGATCTTAGCAACAAACTAGAACTGAGAATCTCGGAAGACCTTAAAGGACTTCGTGATAATGCTTGATCAAGAATACTCAAAAGGACTTTACAAGTGCCTTAAAAGAGAATTCATTACTCACAAAACATTAAAGATGTTGGAGTAAGATCAACATAATAAAAGGGCTTTGAAAGCGCCTTAAAACTCAGTGTTTGATGCCCTGTATAGGTATAGAATTCACCAAAGGCTTGGATTGAATCCTATAAATTTTCTATTAAGTTAGAAACAAACCTAAGACTTACAAGCATACTACTTACTATTAGATAGTAAAGGAATAATGTCTTGTAAGATAGCTACGACAAATCCAAATTCCGAATAATGGTTAAAAGCCATGAAAATCCGAAATAGACTCCATGTTTGAAAATCATGTTTGAAACTTGATTAATTTGCATGAAAGGTGAAATACCCATCGATTGCAAATAAGTTTTTAAGGAGAAAACTAACAAATGTGGAATTGTATATGCATACATAGCTAGATTGGTTGTAAAGGATATAATTAATATCAAGGAGTTGATTTTAAAATCCCATTCACCAATCGGAATGCTCAATTCTTTTCATGATTGATCTAGCAAAATTGCACATATGAAATATGGCAAAATAGATACAAAAACCGCTTACCCAAAATAGGATTTTGGAAGTGACTGTGGAATAGTCGAAGGGTTTTGAAAATTTAAATAATGCTAGATTTGAAAGCAAGCACATGGAATCCGTCATGGGATTAAAGGAAGCATTGCATGAAGGAATTGGAACGTGTTTTCTCATAAAGTTAATAAGAGGATTGACTTATGTAGAAACATAGAAATTCTGATGAACAAGAAGTTTAGTGGGAGCAAAAGTAATGGTCCAATAAGATGTTTACGAACTCTATTGTGAAACAACTATCAAATGCTAAATGCTTATATTTGAAAGTAATTTCGACAATGGACCGAGCTAAAGACGATACTTAGTACATGTTGGGAATTAAGATCTATGGTATAGACTTAATTAAATGTTTAAATGAGTAAAAGAAATTACCATGTTAAACATGAAAGACTTTGAAAGGCTTTCGACCCATATGTATGAAGCTAAGTAAATGTTTGAACTAAGTATAAGCTAGGCTAAGTACTAAATCAAACAAGAAAGACTCTAGTAAGAGACTTTCAATCATATCATACAACGAACAATTTGGCAAGACTCAGTGTAACTGTATGAGCTAAATGTCGTATGAATGGAATAAAATTGAGAATCATTCTAGAATTAAATCCATCATGTAAGGCTATGATATGGAATCGTCAGATGACTTACATGCTTAGAGCATGTGAAGTACGTATTTAATACCAATCGACATTAATCTAAGTATTAGATCATTAGATTATAGTCAAGAACATCCAAAGAACTTAGATAAGTAGTTGGATGAGTTCTTGACGCATGGAAACAAATATAATTTGAGTTTTGATGTTGCAAGCACAAACCTTAACAAGGATTAGATCCTTAGCAAGGAAGCCATTTATAAGCACGAGGCAAGAAGTGTCGTGGCTTGAGAATGGTAACATGGATGTGCATCCATGTATAATGTGCGGGAATTTAAGGAAAATTTCCATGATCAAAAGTGATTAGGGTATCCCAAATCATTGTGAGTCGCTTGGAGTAAAACCCAAGCAAGGCATCATCGGGGAGTCTACTAAAATATATGTTGAGAATATTGTTGCCTTAAAGGCAATAATAAGATAGATGTTAAATGGAAAGGTTCGTTGTTGAACATTAATGATTGTAGGTTGTCAAGTAGAAGGTCTCAAATCATGAAAATGAGTGGGAGCCATTGCTTGGACAATAAATCCTGAATCACATGTAATCCATTAACACTCACAAAATTTTATCATCTTATTATGGAAATGGTGGATAATGAAGATGCTAAGGTTTGCAAAGTAATTTTAACTAAACCTTTGCAATAAGTGAACGACAACATTCATAATTGCATGAAAGAAATCAAGCATATCAAATATGGGTGTGATTTCTATGAATGTTTTATGAAGAGTATTACTCTTTAAACATTTGGGAAAAACCATTTATCATAAGATGAAACATTGTGAAGTTTCATAGTAGAATAAAATATTTCTAAATATTCCACAAAACTATTTAATTGTGGTTTAGAATTAAATAATGAGTCCATTCGATTTTAATAAATATTCAAAATAGGGTATCAAGTCAATGGCTTGGATAAAGAAACACCTATTAAGTGAACATTGAATATTTTAATCGAAAATTATCCCTAATCAAGGTCATATTTTGTGGACGATTGATGACCATCAGAGATTAGTGTGTAGTATGATTTATAGCACCGTTTCTTGTGCTATGAGGATATAAATCATTTGCACAGGTATTGGTTTAGAGCCATACTGGATCGACCTATGAGGATACTTTAAGAAATTTAAAAAATCGTCATAAGTATTTTCTAGGGCTGGCAAACAGGTCGGGTCGGGTCGGGTTCAGGTCGACCTGTTTACATAAACGGGTCAGGACCCCCCAACCTGAACCCGACCTGTTTACTTAAACAGGTCAAAATAACCAACCTGAACCCGACCTGATTATAAACGGGTCGACCTGAACCCGACCCGCCTAAATCTGATTTTTTTTAATTAAAAAAAAAATAAAATAAAAACCTGTAATTTACTAATTTCTTTATACTGTAATTTTTTTAACCTGTAATTTGACTAATTTCTTTAACCTGTAAGATTAAAGTATTCAAGACTTCAAATTCAACACATAATTCAAGCAAACATAACTTAACAACATAATTCAAGAAAATCCTGCTGCATTAGTGCATTGTCCATACTTCATAGTTTCATACACTCACAACAACAACTAAAACTTGAAAAGTAGCTAGCCAACAAGTCCAAAATATTTCCAAGAGTTACATGTCCAAAATACTTCCAAGTAGGCAAATAAAAGTTCAACTAGAAAACCAAATACATGTCCAAAATAACAGTAATAGTTTCATCAACTAATTTTAGAAGAAATTAACAACATAATCAGGTTTGACTCTCCATGACAGCAGGACTTTCTGGTGCACTTTGTGGAGGGCTGGGGCTGGGAGTATCCCCCACATCATCGTTGACTTTCATGGCCATGATTTTTCCACATAAATCTTGCAATTGCGGATCCATATTAGCTACAACCAAAAGAATACATACAAAAGTTAATTTCAGCCTTAAGCATAAATAAAATAGTACAAAAAAGAAACAAAAAAAATTGTAATTTTAAATACATAAACTATTTTCATACCTTCACCAAAAGTCCAATCTTTGAGGCAAATGATAGCTTCTGCTGTGTTTGGTTTCAAAGAGCTTCTATAGCAGTCCAAAACTCGACCACCAGTACTGAAGGCAGATTCTGAAGCTACTGTTGAAATAGGGATTGCAAGGATGTCCCTTGCCATCTTTGAAAGAATTGGATACCTCACAACATTTGTTTTCCAATGATATAGAATATTAATGTTGGTTGCACGAGGAATCAATGGCTCTTCCAAGTAGATTTGCAAGTCAGATTTAGCAGCAACATATGATTTTCTAGAAGAGAAGTTATCAAAGTCCTAAAAGATGTTTAAACAAAAATTACAATAAAGCATACAAAAAACAGAATTTAAAGCTGATTATCAAACAAAAAGCAAGTGTTCACAGTTACCATCATAAAAGAATCAGAAGCAACATCAACTTGCTCTTCATTAGGCTGTCTAGAAGAACGGCGCCTTGTTCGTGGTGTTGTTGTGGAAGCCTCAGTCACATAAGCACCATATAAATAATCCAACCTTTCCTTGAACTTCACCAACTCATTAGTACCCTCTATTTCCCCATACACCTTCTTAAAAGCCCACTCCACAAACTCATACTTAAATCGAGGGTCTAAAATAACAGCCACAGCCATGATTATGCTAAATTTGGTCCAATATTTAGCAAATTTCTCATTCATTCTTGCTGCCATCTTATGCATGAAGTTATCAGAATTTTCAAGCTCCTCTTTCAAGAGTAAACGGATTTTCAGCACATTTGGGAAGTATACATTAGCAGTAGGATAATTAGTACCCGAAAAAACATTTGTCACATCAAAAAAGACCTTCAAAAATCTAAATAACTTCTCTATTCTCCCCCACTCCTCATTTGTTGGACAATGAATGTAATTGGCATCAAACTTTTGAAAATGAAGAAAAGCTTTTTTGTAGTACAAAACATTCTCTAACATCAAATAAGTTGAATTCCATCTAGTAGGGACATCTTGTCTCAATCCTCTACTTGAGTCTAGTTCAACATGTGCCACACAAGTCAAAAAACGTTGCTTTCTAGCCTGAGACCCTTTACAATACTTCACAGTTTCTCTCACCTTAACAACAGCCTCATTAATTTCTTTTAACCCATCTTGCACAATTAAATTTAAGATATGTGCACAACACCTCACATGGAAATAATCCCCCCCCCCCCACATACCAAATCAAGTTCATTTTTAATTACATCAGCAAACACATCATTAGAGGAAGCATTATCAAGAGTAATACACATGATTTTCTTTTGGATACCCCACTCTTTAAGAAAATCATAGACATGGTCAGACATATGGACACTGGTGTGAGGTGGAGGCAAAAAACGAAAGTTCAGAATTTTTTTTTGCAAATTCCATTGATTATCAACAAAATGGGCAGTCAAAGACATGTAACCATCAGTAGTAATTGAAGTCCAACAATCAGATGTAAGAGAAATCCTACCCTTAACTACACTCAACTCCTCCTTAAGTTTATCTTTTTCCCTCTTAAACATTTTCAGAACATCAGCCTTCAAAGTATTTCGAGACACAAGTTTAACATCAGGATTTATGTAATTGATCAACTTCCTAACAGCACTATATTCAGCAAACTGAAAAGGAAAATCATGTTTCACCACAGCAATAGACAACATCTCACGAACAATATCATAATCAATTGTAGGAACCCTATTCATCATAGAACCAGAACTGCTTGAATCAATAATGATCTGACCCACATCTTTAAAGGTCCTTTTTTTACATTTCTTAATGTGGCGTTTTAAATTACCAGTTCCTTGCCTACTTTCAGCATTATATTTCTGCCCACATTTTTTACACTTGCAAATGATTACCTTGTTCGTCAGGTTTATCAAGGAATTCAAAATTTGCCCACACATCTGAAGTGAGCTTTCGTTGGCGCTTGAAATGAATTCCAAGCTTATTTAGCGAGGTGACATTAGAGGTTTTCTTCTTTGATTCCGTTTGATGAGAATCAGAAACTTCATCATCTGAATCAGAATCCGGAAGATCAATGGGTTCATCAGGATTAGGGCTATTAGCCATCTGTGAATAAATTAAAAAAAGAATTACACTCATGGCATAAAAGATAAAACATGAAAAACAGAAGTATAAACTCATGATTCATGACATAAAGAATGAAACTCATGAAATTGCAGAGTAAGAAAATCAAATCAGGGCAAAAAATCGCATAAACAAATCGCAAATAATCGCAAAATAAGTAAATAACAAATCAAATCTTCGAAAGAAATTGCAGAGTAAGAAAATAACAAACGAACAACATTAAATGATTAAATCACATAAACAAAGCATACATAAACCATAATAGCAAAAAATCGCATTAAAAAATCAAAGAAATCTGAAAATTGCATAACCAAATCAAGGAAATTGCATAAACAAATGACTCATGAGCAAACAAACTCATAAAAAATAGAATAATAGGATTATTACCTTCAGAATGTTTGAGATGAAGCTTCAATATTCAAGGTTTAAGCATTTTTATTTCAATCTTCAAGAGTTAGAGAGAGAAAAGAGAGGAGAGGAGAGAAGAGAGAGAAACTGAGAAGAGAGAGAGTTTGAGTGAAAGAAAGAGGCGAGAGAAAGAGGGAATTAGGGTTAGATAATTTGGGCTTGGCCCATATTTTAAAATTAGGGTTTTAAGTTAAGCGGGTTGGGTTCGGGTTGACCCGACCTGAAACCGACCCAATTAAATAAACGGGTTTATGCGGGTTGGTTTCGGGTTGGGATTTTCAACCTGAACCTGACCCATTTAACTTCAGGTCGGGTTCGGGTTGACCCAATTACATAAACGGGTTGAAAATCTCTATCAAAACCCATTTATTTCGGGTTGGGTTCGAGTCGGGTTGTCGGGTCAGGTCAGCTTTTGCCAGCCCTAGTATTTTCCCATTATTACTATCGGAACTCTTTTCCTTTGACCATGAGTAGTGGGAGATCTCTTGTTTGAGTACTGGTCCGCTTTGGTATCCGCCAAACGTCTGCCGTAACTGGGGATTATAAAGACAGATATCAGGCGGGTGAGTCCTCTTAGTAAGAGAAGCTACATTACAAGACTGGAAATGTCCCCCTACTAACAATAGGGAACATGTATTGTTGTTTACAAGGCCTCTCGAAGAGCGAGACTGTGAAAAATGCATGGCCGTGCTCAGATGGATTTTAGAAATCATCTTCTTATTAACAGTCAAACTCGAATTTCGTGAAACACTTCTGGACGTAAAAGAGATGACTAGTAATCTTACTTTGTAGTTCATGAAGAGACATGAAGAGACATAAGATAAGGGCTATACACTAAATGCACACTTGTCCGGAAGGACAAGTGGGAGATTGAAAGGAATGGTGTCCTTCGAACAAGTGTATTATTCTGATAGCGGGTTCAGAATTATTAGAAAGCTAATATATTCAGTAAGGTCAAGTGATCGGAATGCCTGGGTGGAGGCCGCTTTCGATCAGTAATATTAATATAATTAATATTACAGCTTAATCTTGACTGAACCCTTCGGGTCACACCCAAGCAAATATATGCGAACCAACTCGACGAATTAATTCGGAAGAAATTAATTCGTCGCCCGAATGTTGAATAATTAGACGTCGGTAATTCGAGCTTAGAGCGTCGAAACCGATCGTCGGAAGTCGAGTCTAAATGATAAAAGACGAGACGCGCAAAATAATAATAAATCAACAATATTCCCGAAAATACCCCTAGCATCGGAGTGCCCCGAGCATCCGAATGCTAGGGGCAAGACGAGCTGGCGCACCGTGGTGGCAGCCACGGCCAGCCGCGGCTAGGCACAGCAGCAGCCGCGCCGCGCCACGGCAGCAGCCGCACCACGCCACAGCAGCAGCAGGTGCGGGCTGGCTGCGGGCCAGGTGCGGGCTGGGCTCGGGTCGGGCTCGGGCCATAGGGCCGTGAATAAGGGGAAGGTTGGAATATGGGAGTAAGTGGGATTGCCATGTGGCACAAGGTGAGGGAGAGAGTGGGGAGCAAGTTTGGTCCCCATCTCCAAGTGGTCCTCACCTACTCTCTCATGTATGCTTGACACTTGTTGATTTATTACTAGCTTGCTTAATAATTTTATTTTAGCTTTAAAATAAAATGTGAAAATCTCATTGTCCCATATTGATGGGAGAGATTTTCATACTCCCATCATTCCCTATAAATACCCAACTTTGGGCATTGGAAATGATGCTTGAGTGGGAGTTAAAAAGAGCATTCCATAATTTTGGGAAAACTCTTAAACTCATATAACACTCGGGTTTTGGTCGGACCTCGCTAACCCCCAGGTAGTAAACCTTAAAGTTGTGTTCGCCTTTTTGTGGGTGGATAGCGTCGGAGGCGCGGCGCTTGACGTGCTCGTAGCTTTCAAGTAAGAGCCCCGGTTTTTGGGCGAAGCTCGCTTCGAGGGTAAGATTCGTAATCTTTTCTTTGTGATTATTTATTTATGCTTTATGATTTTAATTATTGCGAGTGGTTCCTCGGGTAGGGGTTTGTTTCCGCGGTGAGTCGGACTCACCAAACCCCAACAGATTGATATGCAATCGCTAAGGACGATGAGGTGGGTTGAGGATGTAGAAGGCCCACACCCCTACTTGTGGTATGTGAGTGGGCGGTCCTATGCCTGCCTCCCCGACCCGGAGCGGACCTTTATCTACGATGAGAGAAACTGGGTTTTTGAGAGGGACCACCCTTGGGTTCCCAGTGACGAGGAAGAAGAGCAAGAGCAAGAGCAAGAGCAAGAAGAACAACAACAACAACCACAACAACAACATTTCCAACAACAATTCCAACAACAACAACAATACGAGCATCAACAAGGGTACCAAGAAGGGTACCAAGGTCAAGGCATAGGTGAGGGCAACCCACCCTTTTCCTTCGAGCAACAAATGCAAATAATGAATGACGGGTTCAACCGCATGTCCACCGAGTTCGAGACTATGAGAAAGTCTCACGAAGACATGAGATCCTCCTACGACAACATGAGGACAAGCTTCGAGGGTCTTCGATCAAAATTAGGTGAATTTTGGAACGTCTACCGGCATTGGTACCCCGGGGGATCAAGCTCCCAAGGAGGCCCGAGCCAATGAGTTAGTTCACTTTCTCCCCTTTCTTGTGCTTTAATTGTTTTAACATTGGGGACAATGTTTATGATAGCTTGGGGGGAGTCTTTCTCTTTGGTTCTTATGTTGGTTCTTGTATGTTCTTGTTGGTATTAACTTTGCATGTTGCTTGTTCCTTCCCCTAACATCCAAACCCCTGAACATCCAAATTTTCTCCCTTCGAAATCCAACACCCTAAATCCAAAATCTCTTAATATGTGAATACTTCTCTTCTCTTCTCTCTTTATTTATTTAGATGTAGAGTTGTGTTTTAATTTTTTATGCTTAGCTTAGTTTTCTTAACTTTCTATCTATTCTTGCTTTCTAGTAACCTTAAACCAAAAAAAAATAAAATGAAAAAACAAAAAAAATAGCCCTTGGATGAGACTCAAATGACAATGCTTATATGATTTGCTTGCTTCATTCTTGAGTGATGAGTAAAAGTTCTTTTAGAAGGGTGTGTGCAAGAGTTGGGGTCATTTAGAGGCTTATTAATCTTGATTGCATTAGTGTATATGAAATGAAAACCGATGAAATTGCACAATTGCACATCTAGCATAGGATATTGTCAAATTTGCCCAAAGTAGGATATGTTTGAATCAAATTGTGGTCCCTTGTGCCCTTGATGCGTCTCCCTTCCTCCCCAAAATGAAACTCTACTAGGGAATTGGTTCTATGTGTATCCTGTGTAATAAGTGGCATAATAAGCCACATGTTTCGAATAAAAGAAAGAGTCGCTCACAGTTAAAAGAGGCGAGGGCAATGAATGTTAAAAAAAAAGAAAAGAAAAAAAATAGAGTTAGAAGAGGAGATCAAAAACTCCTCCAAATTCTCAAAATTTTCACCTTTTCTTTTCTAGAGGTCAATTTGTGGATGCCTCCCACACACTATCTATTTTTATGTTTCTTGTGTAAATTCCCGAATTAGAGCGTAGTTGAAAGGGCTTAGGAGTGCATTTTGGGAGGTGGACTTGCATTTTGAGATTTTATAACCGAAAGAGGGCTTGTTGCAACTTTGGAATATCTAGACGTGCTCTAACGAACTAGTAAAAGGTATAAGGAAGTATCCTAGTGCAACCTTGCTTAGTTCGCCTCTCTACCCCCAACTCATGTGCACATTTGTATGAATGGTAATTCTTGAAAGTCGCTCAGCTCACTTGTCTTGCTTGTGACTTATATCCCGATGAGTTGACTTGGGCAATAAAAACATTGGTTTTGGTGTGTATTGACCACTTTGATGATAATGATGTATTATGATAGTTTGGTGTGGTTTGTGTGAGTTGTGGGTTAAGCTCAAGGGAAACCCTCACGAGATAAAAACTTGTCCTCTTAGGCGACTTAGGGGTTTAAATTGCTTTCACTTGTGCTAAAAGTGTTTATGGTTCTTTCCATACGGATTTGTGTTTGTGTTTTCTCTCCTTGGTTTGATCATTAGCAAGTAATCTTCCTTCTTGATTTGACATGTTTGTTTTGCACGAGGACTAGAAAAAGCTTAGATTGGGGGGGATTTGATAACTTGTTATTTGATATGATTTTAGGGTGATTTTGGACCTTGTTTACTCGATATATTAGCATCTTGGTTCACTTCTATCCTATTTTCGTTCAATTTTTGTGTATCCCTTGCTTCACGGGTTGTTAGTGTTTTTGTTGAGTTTTTAGGTCCAAAGACGATCATTTGAAGCATATGGATGATAAACCAAGGTTAGAAGATGTGACAAAGGAGCAAAACCGAAGAAAATGTGAAGAGAAGGGCCTAGAAGACCCTGCACGGCCGTGCCATGTCCTGCACGACCGTGCAGGGGTGCTCAAGCAGATCAGTGCTTCTGCCAGATCTTGCACGGCCGTGCAAGACTTCAGCACGTCCGTGCAAATCAGCCAGCACGTCCGTGCAGTTCACTTGGCCCAAATCAGTTTCAAGACTGATCCTGCACTTCAAGGCTGCACGTCCGTGCCGTATTTGGCACGTCAGTGCAGTAATTCCTGGCCAAATCAGTAGCAAACTGATTCACCCCCTCTGACTCTCCATGGCCGTGCTTAGGGTGGCACGTCCGTGCTACTTAGGCTGCACGTCCGTGCGTACCTGTAGCCGTGCCCGACTCTTGTTTTCTCCGTCCTTTTAATTTGGGGGGTCAAATACCCCCTTTTGCTCATTTGTACGGCAGCCAAGTTTTTAGTGCTTCCTCTTAGTTTGTAATTGTAGAAACAAAAATACTCTCAAATCATTAGTTAGATCTTAATTATTAGCTTGGAAATTTCAATCTCAATCATTGTTGAAGACAAGTTCCACCATTGTTAATCAAAGTTGAAGCTTTTTAGTAATTATTTCTCACTCTTTTCTCCTATTTCTTCTTGCTTTGTTGGTA